ACCCAACCGACCCAACCAACCCAACCAACCCAACCAGGGAAGGACGGAGGGAGAGTTAATAGACGAGAAGAACCAACAAATACATTATATCGAATGATTCCTTTTCAATTCTTAGGTACCTTTTCAATAATAGCATAAAAGCACTTCAGCCTGACACGTTCAAGGAACTGACTGAATTGATAACTTTGTAAGTTTTGTTAACAGGTTACGCCTAGAATCCAAATATTCGAGTTGGGTGGAGAATATTGTTTCCAGTAAAGGTCCCTGTAATGTAGATCACCAAGTTTCTAAGTTTATTAGTCAATAAGATGTATTCTATCTTTCACCATATGTTTTAGACTTATGAATGGAAATAATATCAAAGTTCTTGGACCCAATTCATTCAGAGGATTAACAAATCTACGTGAATTGTAAGTCATCAAGTTATTTTATTCGATGTCTGTTAAGTAATATTTCAAAGCCGACAATGAGGACTGGACGGAATTTCAGGTCCAAGCAATTATTTGGAACTAATTGCGCGGACTTGAAATCCCGTCCAGTCCGATATTGGAGGCTTTGAAATGACTTCTCATGCTCATTAATTATTCGACTTGGAGTAGCTGGAACAAAATTAATTTTGTTCAAGTTACTACAGAATCTTCTCTTAGTTTCCAGTAGCATCACGTGGTCCAAATACAACAATGGGATTGGCTCCTTTCCTCATGAATAATTAATGAGTATGAGAAAGTGGAATACCGCAAATCTCCAGCTGAGCAGTGAACGCGGCGCGCAAAGCATGAGTATACAAAATGACCGGTCCTAAGCATTTTTGGAGGTTGAAAGAACGAAGCAAAAATGGCGGTAAAGTGAAATTATTTTCATTTTTCCTTTCCATATTTCTGCTTCTTGTAGGCACGTATATAAATATCATATCGTAATCAAAAGAAAACAGAAAAATACGCAAAAATTGGGTAGTAGCCTGGGAAAGAGGACAGGTGGCAAAACAGCTAAACGCGCTGTGATTGGCTGAAACAAAATTCGCCGCTCAGCTGGCTAGTCTGCTAATACAAATATCATACGGCTCCAATCATAAGTCCCCCTGGTTATATGTGAGTTCAAGCTAACGCAAACGTCTATTAATAAATATCTATATTATATTCTTTATGAATATCTCTTAGATGGCAGAAACAAATGTTCACTATGATGCATCCATCTTGCTATTCGAAATTTTGCATACGTAATAAGCGTAACCATAGTTCTTTTTGGTCATCCAATCACCGTTAGCCGTTTGCCATTCCCTCCAATGACCTCTTTTGAAATACGTTTAGTACATTTTTAWTTATCGCAATTAAAAGCATTCGCAATTCAAATTCTATAGGGACCTTTCAGGCTCAAATATCGAAGACATYAAACAAGGGGCCTTTGCTGGTCTGGAT